TATAAATATTACCACCCACTCTGTGCCATTTTGACGGCGTATGGTGTAGTTAAAGTTACATCCTGTTCCCCGGCTGACACGCACGCGTTTGCGTTGCTGCTGTTCTGCTTCTGTATCTGGCTGTGGCCATGTCTTTTGTGCTTCACAAGAACGGTGGAGAACCACTGCTTTGATGTCGGCATTTTCTATGTGTTTTCACTACTGAGCATACAAGACGGGTCCGTCTTGTATGCTTAGTGGTGAAAACAAAGCTCTCATCTTGCAGCTAAAATTTTATTACCGCACTAGCCTTGTCTTGGGTGGTAAACACACGCTCTCCAAGCTCTAAGAGTAGTTTCAAGTTGTTCGATTGTTCATTGCAAAAAGATTGCAGTGTTATGGAAAGTAAATAGCCGCCGGAAAACTGGTAGCAGCAAATTATTGTCGTGATAATCATGAATGGTTCCAGCCAATCACAGGCCTCAAAAAATGAGCCTAGGAGATCTGTATTGACAGAGTTGGCGGTAGTTATCAAAGGTGAGTGCTAATTATCGGCATCCTAAATCAATTGGCAGTGTGGTGCAGCCGATATCACAAAATTACTCAAGTGAGTGTCGATCTTCCACTTGCCCAGACTTGCCGACTCACGGAGGGGGTACTCCGATCCGTGCCTTGCTGTATAACCTTGTGTACCCGTCGGTTGGGCTGGCTTGATCTCTTCGTAACGGCCTTGGGAGATGTTGATCTCGCTGAGAGGTTGGGTTGAGAGTTCGCTTCCGGTGCGAAAATCTTCACACCACGAACAGGGGTTCTGCGATCTTGATCTCGAGTCGCGGCGATCTCTAGTTAAAGATGTCGCAATCTCGATCTTGAATCACACCGATCTCGATTTGTCTTCGGGATCGGGGTCTTTGCTGTGCGGAAATCTGCACTCATCAGATAGTAGTCTTGCGTCAATCTTGCCTTGGGATCGGTCCGATCTGGTCTCGGGATCGTCCGATCTTGCTGGAAGTGCGCAATTTGGGCAGATCGGTACTTGGTTTCGCCAAAATGAAACACGCCGATCTGTCCAGTGGATCGCTTCAATCTTGCTCGGTCTTGTCTTGAACGCCTTGTCCAGATCTTCTGACCACTTGAGCCGTCTCGCGATCTTGTGTTTAAAATCCTTTTCCTCTGTTGCTGCTACCCTAGCAGTTGAGTTGAGAGTGAGTACTTGATCGATCCGGGCCAAACTTCCCGAGAGTGAGTACTTGATCGATCCGAGCCAAACTTCCCGAGATCGGTCTTCTGTGTCCTTGTAACACGCGTGCCTTGACCCGCCGGGGAAGCCAAATCAATCTTGCCCGGAGAAGAGGGGAGGAGAACGTGCGTCGTGAGCAGAAGAAGTAGAGTTCAAGTCTGTTTATTAACCAACCATATTAATAGTCAACCTATCTTTAAGCCTATTCCCAACTATGGGTCACTCTCCAAGTCGATATCACCTTTAAGCTTGACCGCCCCCTTGAACACGTGTCGAAATTTTATGACCTGTACTCCAAAGATAGCGCCAATATCCCCTATATCGTACCTAAACACCAAAAGAGGACCAAATCGCAAATGTGGTACCAAATACCCATGTTGGTACCCAAAAGCTTGAAATAGTGCCCAAATGCCGAATGCGTCTAAATCCTTTTTGCGACGTCAATTTAACCGGCTTCCACTGGCTCTTTCGATCTGAACTTTTGAGGCATCACTCATGGACCTTCAACAAGCATGTTTGTCATGATCCAAAAGTCTCATCAACGATATATCCATAAGCAGTGGGGAACATGACCGATCTGATGTCCAATTCGAGATTGTTGAGGATCCACACAGTACAATCCGGCCATATCTGTTCTTCCGTTCATTGTGCGTACTCCGATGCCTTTCTCAGAAAGGTTCTGCTTCAACATCCACATCCCTCCTTTGATCATCCTTCAGAGCGGTCGTTTGGTCCAATGCAGTCCCTTGTCCCAGATCGCACCGTGGAAGTCACCCCTTTCTACGCCTCGTCTCAAATCACGTCGCATCGCCTGGTCCCAGGCGTACCTTTCTCAAAATGATTCTGCTTCAACATCCACATTCTTGCCTTTGATCAGCCTTCAAAGTGTTCGTTCGGTTCAATCCAGTCCCTCATCCCAGATCGCACTATGAAAATCACCCCTTTCTACGCCCGTCTCAAATCACGTCGCATCGCCTGGTCCCAGGCGTACCTTTCTCAGAAAGGTTCTGCTTCAACATCCACATCCCTGCCTTTGATCAGCCTTCAGAGCGGTCGTTTGGTCCAATCCAGTCCCTTGTCCCAGATCGCACCGTGGAAATCACCCCTTTCTACGCCCGTCTCAAATCACGTCGCATCGCCTGGTCCCAGGCATCATTTTCCGCCAGTGGGTGGCGTCTTAACTGGGTGGACACCGATCCACGTACTGTCATTTGATAAGTGACTTTACCACAGCAGCGTATAATTGCCATTTATTAAGATGCCTTCGTGCGTAAAGAACATTTGATGAGCTTGTGGTAGTAGCAGTAAAATATTTATGGTCATAACAGCGATGCCGGCAACTTACCGGTTACAAATATTGGCATGTTTGACAGAAGTCTCGAACGATGTTTCAAAATTATACAGCAACAGTGTACATGCTTATGTTATAAGAGATAATCGTAAATTTACACGACTTAGTTATCATGTAAGGGGTACCAAATTGGCGACAACCTTTCTCGCCTAAGCGCCCTAAACAGTCCTTGTAATACAATTAAATGTAACAGGCTAACCCCGTTACATAATTGGTAGGCGGTCAAGCTTATAATAGAGTAGCTCTATAGGTGTCAAGCATATTGCGCTTAATTCTTGGGCGCAATTTTTTGTTGTATTATGGCCTTGATCCATCGATTCAATTGTCCAGTGATCATGCGGCGAATAGTCACGCATAGGTTCCATCTACCGTACGCATTGAGCAGTCTCGGTGACAATTTCTTAATACCATTGCCTGCAATCACGAAATGTACCGCAGAAACACTGCGCTCTTGTGCAAATAATTTCTACTACTCGTTCTGGAGAAGTTGCATCTAGAACTTGACCTGTGCAACGTCGCTTTTTGTTGGCTGGTAGCACCAACGTCCGCCCCTCTTTAATCACACGCTTAGTAATAGTAAGATTTGTATGATCATCTCAATTTTGCTTATAATAACGGCACTGACAACAACTGCGACTTGAGCCGAGTCGATTTCGCGAAAATCATCACGCACTGACATTTCCACAATCTGTTTATCATGATCACATTTTTCACTAAACTAATGAACACTAAGCCATGGTACTTTTACCAAATCGGACGTCACTCCATGCCTTAACAAGGATGACAACTCACATTAGCTTGTAGTGCACCAATGCCAAATAAAAACTTCGTTACACAATTGGTGCCAGTAAGAACGCTATCGTGCGCACAACCTCGTTGAGTACCGTCTATTCGCTGAAATACGGATGACTAAAACTTACCCGTTTTACCTTTCGCGTCTGAATGCGGGTGCAGAATTAAAAACGTTTATGAGCAAGGTGTCGACGGCCCCACACCCATTCAGCTTACTCCCGATACGAATGTCGTTTTGTTGAATAGGCATAAGGTAATTTGAATGATTCGCAAGCGTTTATACGTCAAGCATTTCTTACAGATAAGAATGCATTTACGGCTATAATGATACATAAAAGGCGTCCACTTTGGAATTTTTGTGGGCGTGCATTTATTATTTCCCTTGAGATATACCCTGTTTCCTACTAAATACAACATGTACTCCACACCATAGTATAGTTTGTACGATAAATTGTTCCTTCATACATCTGCCGGCCCACTATTTTACGCAACAATCTTAATCAATCAGAAAAAAACTTAGTGATTTACCGATTAGACTTCACTTAGCGCGCAATTGATGACTGAATATCTTCGCTTTATTAAACGACTTGACCACCGACTACTAAGCACTCTTTACTTCATGTCGGACACATCCGGGCTGCTATTTACTCTTTTAAGAACAATTAACCAGGTTTCGGCCAAGAAAAATACCTAAAATAAATGAAATAGATATCTGCGTTTCACCGAACGAATTCAGATACAGCCCGACGCGGCAAAAATTACCTTTTCTAAACAAAAACATAAACGTACAGGAGAGTGTACTTTTGTTAAAGCTGTCATGGACCTACGAGAGGATCAGGCAATGCCTATCTGAAATGACATGTGTGATCAGATCCACCTCTCTTTTTTTTTAATAGTGGCTGTTTATTTTGCGCAATGAGGCATAAATCCAACCGAAAAACATATGCCACTCCAGAGAAGGTCCAGAAGCCTTGAACACCTGTTTCAACCACTTTGGACATCTTGACGGACTCACCACTGAAAAAGATGTCATCCCTCCCGACGTCGAACGAACCTTTTCGAGCGCTACACGTATCCCTGCTGCACACAATAGTCGATACCTACCACTTTTTATCGGTACCGACAAATCTGTCCATGCCAGTCGATCGCCGCTCTATTGAATGTCCTATAATACCAGAAGCAATACGGAGACGCCCCGGATGCGCGTGATCGAGTCATCGTTTGTATTTTTTGTTGCAATGCTCGCTATCTTCGCATGTCATCCAATCGAGATATTATGTTGAAGCTTAATATGCTGATTGAATACCAACCAACCGGCAGTCGCTGTGAAATTATGTTTGACGACCAGAGGTGTAACGGCCGGTTGTTGTCTGGTAGAAGACGAGAGATAGATAGAGGGTCTGCATTCGACAAGAACGCAAAATGCTTAAGGCGAGTACCCTAGCTAGAGCACCTTCTTATCAACCATCTATCTTGAGCGTCAGAGCTGGTAGGATCATGTAATACGAGAGAGAGAGAGAGAGAGAGGGAAGAAATTGTCAAAGAGATGCTCCCTGCCAGGATCGAAATGGCGACCTTCAGATGGTAAGACTGGTGCTCTACCACTGAGCCAAATGGCTCTTCTCAATTTGCTAGCTACTACGCAAGACAAATCAAGAAGAACCCTGTCCCCCGCGATTCTGCAAATCCCTGTCCCGTCTTTCCGCATGTAATATCCAGCGACTGCCTCTTCTCTTGCTCCCGACCAGACGTCACGTGGTGCTCTTGGCTCGAAACGTGTGGCTCTGACAACTCGTTCAGATGGTGCCCCGGTTGGCCCATTCTCGACCAACGATTCGGGGCCCTCGGAATCTCCGATGGCGGCCACTACTGACACTGCTCAGGCTCCACACACTGATGGTAGCCCTGACGAGATCATGGACGAGCCGCCTTCTGGCTCTATCTCGCCCGTCGACCGGCCAACATCTGATGACTTTCCGATGGACAAACCGTTTCCCGCCTCTGAACCCGGCTCTTCGCCTTCGAGCGCTGATCCACGTCCTACGATGGCTGACGTGCTTGGTCAGCAGGAACACTTTCGCCGCGACCACGCCGAGGCTGACGCTGCGCGTCGTCGGGTTGAGAATCCCAAGCCTCTCGCAAGTGACATCGAGTGGATCGAGCGCCAGTACGCCGCTGGTGGCGATTGGACGTTCATCGCGTCACGGATGGATCAAGCTCGACCGTATGTTCTTCCTCGCGCCAAGTACGACATGGTGATCGCTACTGGTCGGATGTTCGCGAAGACTCCTCTCCAGAAGATCATGGTGTCCCTCTCTGGTACACACCACGGGAATGCCTCTCTTGAGGACCTCTACCGCAGTCATGAGATTGGCCAAATCTCCAAGCTGCCTGAAGGTGATCTCCGCATCAAGGTGAAGTCGAAAGAAGCCTGTCTCCGCTTTGATCGCACGAAGGTGAACATTCTGGTTGGTGTCTACACGTTCAAGGAGTTTGATGTTCTTGGTGGCAAGTACTTCATCGACATCTCCAGCATGGACTCGGACACCGACACCCGATTGATTCTTCAGCGCCTTTTTCTCCTTGGCTACAAGCCTGTATACGACACCTTTCGTGAGCTAAACCTCGCGACTGGCATTACGTCTGCCACTTGGCGCGTGTACTTCTTGACAGCTTCATGTCCCAGCGCTCTGATCGTGAATGGCAGCGTATGCGATCAGGTGTTGTTCACCAACAAGCTCCACCCTGCTCATGGAAAAAATTGCACCATTCCAGTCGGAGCGTTTGCCATTTGGGTATCACTCTCACCACGGACTTGACCTGGGTACGACAACTAGCAACTCTCGAGGTACGGTGCCGGGGTCTGCCACGCATCAGCGCCAGAATCTGACGACACCTGCGCAGTCGTATGAGCACGCTGTAAAAGTGCCTGAAGATGCAGTGACTATGAAATTTCCCAAGAAGACCTCACGCCAAAAGTCAGTTAAGGATGCGAAAAAACGGGAAGTTCATCTCCGCCACGGAGCTCAGCATGCCAAGACATCTGCGGACACTCGGCTCGTCACGACTTCGTCCAGCATCTCGGAAGCTTTATCGATCTCGACATTGTGTGGGTCCCACGGCAAGATCACTCCTCCTGGGAGCGAAATGCTCAGACGACACCCCCTCTTTTGCTGACGAATAGCGAGAGCAACGGTTTCACGACTGCGACTTCCAGAAAAAACGCGGCCGTAACGGGTTTGACTTCTCCAACATGCTGGTAAAGCAATCGAAGCTTCCATTGGATGGCATTGCCACCACCAACTACTTTCAGGCGCTCCAGACGATGGAGGTCCGGTTTGAATCGACCGACTTGACGGAGGACCCGACCCTTGGCGTTCATCACCAAGCTTTACCTTTGGGTGTGAAACGTCCTGATGCGCTGCAGACCTCGACCGAGTCCGCTTTCTTCGTTGAGAAACATCACACGAAGATCAAGAAAGCTACCAGGGCTTCTTTTGTGCCTGAAGTGGCTGAGGCCATGCTCAGTGACGATAAAACGGCGCTCCTTAGCCTTTTACCCGACTGTTTTGATGCCGCCAACAGCAAGGTCGGCAGCATGTGCAAGCTTCTCAAAACGCCGCGAACCCCGACCACTTTACCAAGAAAGCGGTCAAGTGTCCTCTTGCCTTCAAAAGTGCACTTGCGCTGACGATGCTGGAGGGTGGGTCGGCGATTGACGATGTCGCTCAGCTGGGAACAGCGGTTCCCTCCAAACGCGGTAAGATCTACACCCTGTGTGCCAAGTGGTAGACGTCCACACCCGCCATTGAAGAGCTGTCTCATGCTTCCAAAGCCTTGGGCATGTTTGAGCTCAAGCTCATGTCCATTGCCCCCGTTAGCTTTTCCAATGACCATTGGATCCAGTACATCACTGGCCAACCAGTAGAGTGGATCCCTGCGCATCATGCGCGCCTTCTCCACCCAAACACCCTCCTCCGTCTTCTGTGGTCCAAGTTAGGTGCTCACTGCATGCAGCAATGGAAGGAGGTGCAATGGCAGGGACACCTTCGGGATAAACTCGAAGCTCTTCAGCAGCTTGAAGGCTTCTACCCTGAAGACTCGTCCGTCTTGCGGCTTCACGCGGTCTACGGCGGGGCTTCGATGCTAGCGAGTGCGCTGGCCGCCCGTTGCTAAAGGCCCCTCGGCACGGACATCCTGGAGCAACATCAGTGTTCTGACAGTGAACACTAACGGAATCAAACAGAACGGTCATCTTCTCATTGAGAATTTGCTCTCCAACCACTCAGTATCGTGTCTCCAAGAAACCAAGTTCGGTGACGCCACCCATCTTTCGACATTCAAGTTTTACCTTGACTCCAGCTTCAAAAACAAAGTCTTCGTCAATGACCCGAATTCCCATCAGCACCGGCCGACACGGGGGGGGAGCCACGGGGTCGTCACAGTGCTTCGCTCTGACTTTCCCGGTTTCGACTCAGCGGTTAAAGTCAACCGTCTCTCCGTCACCGGGCGTTATCTCGTTGTGCGAGTGATGGCCGATGGTTTACCATACTACCTCCACACCGTTTAAACATCAGTCGACCGCCAAGAAAAATGCCAGTTTTTCTTGAGTTTGGTCACGGAGGAGTTTGAAGATCACGCGACCCGTCTTGTGTTGGGAGACCTCAATACCCCTTTAAGCTCGACTAGACTCATCGACTCCAGACTTGCGCTATGACCCTGGTCGGTCCAGCTGTCTTGAATGGATGGCCAAACTCGGCGTCGTCGACGCTTGGAGGATCCACTTCAACACCAACCGAGTTGTTACTGGTCCTCTACCCCGCAAGAACCGTCTGGATTACATCTTGATTTCGGAGTCCTTCTCGAACAATTTCTATAGCGATTCCCGGTGTTTTCTTTCGCAACATGCTGGTGACCATCTTGCTCAAAGTGTAAGTTTCAAGTCGGGATCCCAGCTCCACGGTCGGGGATACTGGAAGTTTCCGAGTTATCTGCTGGGTTACCCTCAAATTGTTTCTGCAATCGAACGAGAAGCAGAGATAGTCCGGGACTGACTGCGTTCTGTCTCAAACCCGGGCAAGATATGGAAATCGTGGAAGCAATCCATCAAGTCTCAACCTCAGGCGGTCCATAAAAAGCTTCGCCTCCAAGACGCCCAGGCCATTGAGGCGTCTCGGATACGTCTTGATCGTGCCGCGGCCCGGTTTCGCGAAAGTTCTTGTGCTCAGGACCGTGACCTATTCGATGCTGCCATGCGTTACTACAAGGAGGCTGTGACTCGCTCCAGCCAGTATAACCAGGATGCTGCCTTCGATTTCCAAGAGGTCAATTTAGAAAGATCAACGAAGTGTTTCTTCCGCCCACTGGACACAAGCTTGAGAAGTGTTTCCATTGAGGAAGTCGTGATCCCACTGAGTCGCTTTCGACGAATCCCACGTACATATCTCAAAGGTTCCTGGAGCACTGGGGGTCTGCGATGGGAGATCCCACCAGTCCGGCTGGCCTGGGTCCTCCTCCACATGCTGCGTTACAGCGGACGCTGCTCAACACAGTCGTTCGATCTGTATCTTCTCTCGACCGTGACATCTTAGACGCCCCGGTAACTGCTACGGACTTGGCAGCCGCCATCCGCCACATGCGCGCGACTTCGTCACCTGGTATGGATGGTCTGACGGCTGGTTTCTACCAGGTCGCCCCTGACGTCTTCGGAGACTGCCTTAGTATCGTCTTTAAAGATCGTCTCCACCGCGGTACGCTCCTCCCGTCCCAGCGGAAGTCAGCATTTGTTCTGCTTCACAAGAAAGGGTCACGTGCGGCTCCTGGAAACTACCGCCCGATTACTCTTGTACAAGTCGATGTGAAGATACTGTAGAAAGCGCTCACGTATCGCCTCCAACAGGTGATCCCCGATTTGATCCACCCCGACCAGAAGGGATTCGTCAAGGGACGATCAATTCATCACCACGTGCGCTTCCTGGCCGATCTTCAAGACCTGGTTACCGGCCGGAACGATGAAGCGTACGCGCTGTTTTTAGATTTCGAAAAAGCCTTCGATAGAGTCAACTGGGACTACATGCTTCGTCTACTCGAACGCCTGGGCTTTGGGTCGACGTTTACGCGGTGGATCCAGCTTCTTTACACGGACCCACGGGCCCATCTGATGATCAATCAGAACATCCAACCAGCGCTCTTCCCGACACGCGGTCTAAAGCAAGGGGATTTGTTATCATCCCTTCTTTTCATCTTGACCATCGAGCCCCTTAGCAATCTCCTCCAGAAACACGAGGAGTATGGCATCTGTCTGAATGCGGACCACACTTCCACCGGCGCGTTCTTCGCTGATGACTCCACTCTCCTGAGCAGCTCAATCGCGAACCTGCAGGACCAGCTGCTTCTTGTCCAAGATTACTGCCAGAGGTCCGGTGCCAGACTTAACATACAAAAATCTGTGCTGCTCGCGCTCAACCGGAACCACACGTGTCCACTTCTTTCTGGTATGAGATTTCTCAGTTGGACGGATACGGTGAAATACCTTGGCAATCCCTTTGGGCAGTCCTCGGTCGATACCGTGATCACCGACTTTCTTGAGCAGCGCTTCTACGACGGCTTCAAATTGTGGTACTGACGGGCTTGTACGCTTCGGGGTCGTTTGCTGGTAGCCTAAACTATGATCCTTTCTCGCTTGTGGCACTATACTCAGCATGTGTCCATTTCGACGACAACGGTGCGGCGTTGGCAATCGATGCTGAATCGGTTCGTGTTGAGTCGATAACACGACCGCGAGTTATCCCACATTCATCCCCCTCCCAGTGCTTTTCTCTACCAGCGCTGCTGTGACGGAGGGTTGGGATTTCCTGACCTTGCTGCTCATCTGAAGCGCTACCGGCTCCAACTGCTTTTGCAGATTTTCTGTGGATTGGAGACGCCATCGGTAAAAAATTAAAAAGACAGCTAACTCTGAGCTGATTCTGAGGTTCATCCCGCCCACGGGTCGGAGGCACACCTTGGACTGTCTCACCATATTCCCGTTGCGAAATGGCGACATTATCAAGTAAGGACTGGCTTCTGCATGGTGGAAGGCGGCGTGGAAACTGTGGTACTCCCTTCAGTAGGAGATCACGTGGCACGACCTTCCTCCTAATGACCGCGCTTGGTACGTCTCCGTCAGCCTATTTGGTTCCACTCAGACTCCGCGCTTTATTACGAGCAATCACCCCGGGTTTTGACAACTACCCCCCCATCGGCGGAGTATCGGTATGGTCGCTGAGCCGCAACGAATCTTTAGGCTACATCTATCCCACGTCTTCGGTTTACGGTCGCTTTCGGACTTCATCCTTGTTGGCGAAGCCTGGCCGTCGCAGCAGGAGTTCGTCGAGCGTTACATTGACTTCACGCTTGTCTATGCAACACCCTGGAAGCAGGTGACATGGTTGCGGGTGCTCCACACCGAAACTACCCAAATTGTCGAGCGCCTAGGTGCGACAGAACTAATTTTGCCACCCGCTCCTGTGGAGCAGTGTGTCCATCCCCATCTTGGTTGTACCTGCAGTGGTCGGGAGTATTTCGTCCCTGCCATTCCGAAGTCTGCTCTTCTTGGCGTGGTTTGGACACCGCCAGTGCCGAAGAAACCTCATCCGATATCGCTACACTCGAGGTCGGCGGGACCGGGACAAATTCGGTCTTTTTTGCGGTCCTCCATATACTTTGGCCGTGTCTTGCTTCCCGTGTATGCAGACCTCCAATTCCGCCTCGCTCTTCAGCTCCTTCCGGTGCTTTCTCAGTTCTGGTTTCTGGGCGCGTCGATCCCCGGTGTCCAATATTTTGTGCAATCGGGTTGCCAGGCTGTCGAGACCGAGCGCCATCTTTTCTTCTAATGCAATCTTGCTTCCCAGTTATGGAGTCATCTCAACGGCGTGCTGGCACCGTTCTTTATCCAGCGTGCGACTTGGGAGGACGTTGTCTTCGCGGCTCGCCGTCGCTTACGGGTCGAGTGGGTGCCTGATGCAGCACTTGTTCATGACATCTGGCACACATTTCGAGCCGTCACGCTCCACTTCGTCTGATTTGACCGCAATCGGTGCCTGTTTGATGGCAGGCGATCAACCCCAGCAGCCCCTGCTCTGCTGGTTATCTTCTCGACTACCAGCGCTCATCTACGGCGCGGTCTTCGACATCGGTATGATGATGTTCAAAAGCGAGCTCTTCAGCGTGCTGTGAAGGCGATGTCGGTCGACAACGCCTTCACCAGCTTCCTTCTCGTCCACCCTGATGCTCTGGGTATTCGGCATCGCACAGGATGGACCCATGGTCCATCATTCTCTTGACCGTCGGTGACCCTCTCACCGACAGCGATAGTACTCTGACGTGGTCCATCCTTCTCCACCTCCGCTGGACTCGTGCATTTCAAGACGGCAACCACCACACTATCGGCCCTCCCTCCTCTGACGCAACCCACTCCGACCTCGAGCCCGCAGCCACCATCTGATGAGGCGCTTTCGCTGGCCCGTGGTCCGGTTTGAGCTGGGCCAGATTTAGGCTGAGCCGACACCATGGTGCCGTTGCCATCCTGGTACACTCTTCGAGGCTTCAAATTTGAGAGTTCCTTCCCCTCTACAAGGCTATCCCCCAGGACGACAGCCACCATACGGTCGGCCACCCCTCCTCCAAAGCTGCTCTCTACGGCCTCGGGCCCGCAGCGACCATCTGATGAGGCGCTATCGCTGACCCGTGGTCCTGATTGAGTAGCGCCGGAATTAGGTTGGTCTGACTACATGGTTTCGCTTCCAACCTGGGCGATACTCGCCACGGCCTGGACTCACGACGGCTAAGAAAAAACCAAAACAAAAACAAGTTAAAAAAAGTGGTTTCACCAAACTAAACCACCGACACGTACACGTGGCGGCACGAGGTGGCCTGCGCGTGATGAGGAGTTGCACCCACGCGTTCTCGGACACTGCTCACGCTGTCCCCATCTACAGCCGGTGGCACGGACTGGTAGGCGCACCCGTGACGCGTCGGGTGCCGGTGGGCGGTCACTGCGCGGCTTCGACTTGCGCTTTCCTAGCGGGGCTCCATTTTCAAAACTGGATTTTATTAAAAAAAAGGAGACATATAAAAAATCAAAGCGAATAACGCACAGCTGATAAGGAAGTAAAGCAAAGTGATCCCGTATACCTAGCTGTAGTATCCTATTTTTATTTAGCTACGTAGATTGAGAAGTCACTTTGTCTTGTAATAAAGACAACCTTTCAACTGAGCCAAAGGAGCTTCAAGCCCATTGGTCGCCCTCGTTTTTCACAACGAATACAGCTCTTCTACGTGATATAGACGTGCTCACATAATCTTCTGCCCTCTCAGAGACGGTCCAGAAGCCTTGAACACCTGTTTCAACCACTCTGGACATCTTGACGGACTCACCACTGAAAAAGATGTCATCCCTCCCGACGTCGAATGAACCCTTTCGAGCGCTACACGTATCCCTGCTGCACACAATAGTTGATACCTACCACTTTTTATCGGTACCGACAAATCTTTCCATGCCAGTCGATCGCCGCTCTATTGAATGTCCTATACTACCAGAAGCAATACGGAGACGCCCCGGATGCGCGCGATCGAGTCATCGTTTGTATTTTTTGTTGCAATGCTCGCTGTCTTCGCATGTCACCCAATCGAGATATTATGTTGAAGCTTAACATGCTGATTGAATACCAACCAACCGGCAGTCGCTGTGAAAGTATGTTTGACGACCAGAGGTGTAACGGCCGGTTGTTGTCTGGTAGAAGACGAGAGATAGATAGAGGGTCTGCATTCGACAAGAACGCACAATGATTAAGGCGAGTACCCTAGCTAGAGCACCTTCTTATCAACCATCTATCTTGAGCGTCAGAGCTGGTAGGATCATGTAATACGAGATAGAGAGAGAGAGGGAAGAAATTGTCAAAGAGATGCTCCCTGCCAGGATCGACAGGCCACCTTCAGATTATGAGACTGACGCTCTACCAACTGAGCCAAAGGAGCTTCAAGCCCATTGGTCGCCCTCGTTTTTCACAACAAATACAGCTCTTCTACGTGATATAGACGTGCTCACATAATCTTCTGCCCTCTCAGAGACGGTCCAGAAGCCTTGAACACCTGTTTCAACCACTTTGGACATCTTGACGGACTCACCACTGAAAAAGATGTCATCCCTCCCGACGTCGAATGAACCCTTTCGAGCGCTACACGTATCCCTGCTGCACACAATAGTCGATACCTACCACTTTTTATCGGTACCGACAAATCTTTCCATGCCAGTCGATCGCCGCTCTATTGAATGTCCTATACTACCAGAAGCAATACGGAGACGCCCCGGATGCGCGCGATCGAGTCATCGTTTGTATTTTTTGTTGCAATGCTCGCTGTCTTCGCATGTCACCCAATCGAGATATTATGTTGAAGCTTAATATGCTGATTGAATACCAACCAACCGGCAGTCGCTGTGAAAGTATGTTTGACGACCAGAGGTGTAACGGCCGGTTGTTGTCTGGTAGAAGACGAGAGATAGATAGAGGGTCTGCATTCGACAAGAACGCACAATGATTAAGGCGAGTACCCTAGCTAGAGCACCTTCTTATCAACCATCTATCTTGAGCGTCAGAGCTGGTAGGATCATGTAATACGAGATAGAGAGAGAGAGGGAAGAAATTGTCAAAGAGATGCTCCCTGCCAGGATCGACAGGCGACCTTCAGATTATGAGACTGACGCTCTACCAACTGAGCCAAAGGAGCTTCAAGCCCATTGGTCGCCCTCGTTTTTCACAACAAATACAGCTCTTCTACGTGATATAGACGTGCTCACATAATCTTCTGCCCTCTCAGAGACGGTCCAGAAGCCTTGAACACCTGTTTCAACCACTTTGGACATCTTGACGGACTCACCACTGAAAAAGATGTCATCCCTCCCGACGTCGAATGAACCCTTTCGAGCGCTACACGTATCCCTGCTGCACACAATAGTCGATACCTACCACTTTTTATCGGTACCGACAAATCTTTCCATGCCAGTCGATCGCCGCTCTATTGAATGTCCTATACTACCAGAAGCAATACGGAGACGCCCCGGATGCGCGCGATCGAGTCATCGTTTGTATTTTTTGTTGCAATGCTCGCTGTCTTCGCATGTCACCCAATCGAGATATTATGTTGAAGCTTAATATGCTGATTGAATACCAACCAACCGGCAGTCGCTGTGAAAGTATGTTTGACGACCAGAGGTGTAACGGCCGGTTGTTGTCTGGTAGAAGACGAGAGATAGATAGAGGGTCTGCATTCGACAAGAACGCACAATGATTAAGGCGAGTACCCTAGCTAGAGCACCTTCTTATCAACCATCTATCTTGAGCGTCAGAGCTGGTAGGATCATGTAATACGAGATAGAGAGAGAGAGGGAAGAAATTGTCAAAGAGATGCTCCCTGCCAGGATCGACAGGCCACCTTCAGATTATGAGACTGACGCTCTACCAACTGAGCCAAAGGAGCTTCAAGCCCATTGGTCGCCCTCGTTTTTCACAACAAATACAGCTCTTCTACGTGATATAGACGTGCTCACATAATCTTCTGCCCTCTCAGAGACGGTCCAGAAGCCTTGAACACCTGTTTCAACCACTTTGGACATCTTGACGGACTCACCACTGAAAAAGATGTCATCCCTCCCGACGTCGAATGAACCCTTTCGAGCGCTACACGTATCCCTGCTGCACACAATAGTCGATACCTACCACTTTTTATCGGTACCGACAAATCTTTCCATGCCAGTCGATCGCCGCTCTATTGAATGTCCTATACTACCAGAAGCAATACGGAGACGCCCCGGATGCGCGCGATCGAGTCATCGTTTGTATTTTTTGTTGCAATGCTCGCTGTCTTCGCATGTCACCCAATCGAGATATTATGTTGAAGCTTAATATGCTGATTGAATACCAACCAACCGGCAGTCGCTGTGAAAGTATGTTTGACGACCAGAGGTGTAACGGCCGGTTGTTGTCTGGTAGAAGACGAGAGATAGATAGAGGGTCTGCATTCGACAAGAACGCACAATGATTAAGGCGAGTACCCTAGCTAGAGCACCTTCTTATCAACCATCTATCTTGAGCGTCAGAGCTGGTAGGATCATGTAATACGAGATAGAGAGAGAGAGGGAAGAAATTGTCAAAGAGATGCTCCCTGCCAGGATCGACAGGCCACCTTCAGATTATGAGACTGACGCTCTACCAACTGAGCCAAAGGAGCTTCAAGCCCATTGGTCGCCCTCGTTTTTCACAACAAATACAGCTCTTCTACGTGATATAGACGTGCTCACATAATCTTCTGCCCTCTCAGAGACGGTCCAGAAGCCTTGAACACCTGTTTCAACCACTTTGGACATCTTGACGGACTCACCACTGAAAAAGATGTCATCCCTCCCGACGTCGAATGAACCCTTTCGAGCGCTACACGTATCCCTGCTGCACACAATAGTCGATACCTACCACTTTTTATCGGTACCGACAAGTCTTTCCATGCCAGTCGATCGCCGCTCTATTGAATGTCCTATACTACCAGAAGCAATACGGAGACGCCCCGGATGCGCGCGATCGAGTCATCGTTTGTATTTTTTGTTGCAATGCTCGCTGTCTTCGCATGTCACCCAATCGAGATATTATGTTGAAGCTTAATATGCTGATTGAATACCAACCAACCGGCAGTCGCTGTGAAAGTATGTTTGACGACCAGAGGTGTAACGGCCGGTTGTTGTCTGGTAGAAGACGAGAGATAGATAGAGGGTCTGCATTCGACAAGAACGCACAATGATTAAGGCGAGTACCCTAGCTAGAGCACCTTCTTATCAACCATCTATCTTGAGCGTCAGAGCTGGTAGGATCATGTAATACGAGAGAGAGAGAGAGAGGGAAGAAATTGTCAAAGAGATGCTCCCTGCCAGGATCGACAGGCCACCTTCAGATTATGAGACTGACGCTCTACCAACTGAGCCAAAGGAGCTTCAAGCCCATTGGTCGCCCTCGTTTTTCACAACAAATACAGCTCTTCTACGTGATATAGACGTGCTCACATAATCTTCTGCCCTCTCAGAGACGGTCCAGAAGCCTTGAACACCTGTTTCAACCACTTTGGACATCTTGACGGACTCACCACTGAAAAAGATGTCATCCCTCCCGACGTCGAATGAACCCTTTCGAGCGCTACACGTATCCCTGCTGCACACAATAGTCGATACCTACCACTTTTTATCGGTACCGACAAATCTTTCCATGCCAGTCGATCGCCGCTCTATTGAATGTCCTATACTACCAGAAGCAATACGGAGACGCCCCGGATGCGCGCGATCGAGTCATCGTTTGTATTTTTTGTTGCAATGCTCGCTGTCTTCGCATGTCACCCAATCGAGATATTATGTTGAAGCTTAATATGCTGATTGAATACCAACCAACCGGCAGTCGCTGTGAAAGTATGTTTGACGACCAGAGGTGTAACGGCCGGTTGTTGTCTGGTAGAAGACGAGAGATAGATAGAGGGTCTGCATTCGACAAGAACGCACAATGATTAAGGCGAGTACCCTAGCTAGAGCACCTTCTTATCAACCATCTATCTTGAGCGTCAGAGCTGGTA